AGGGCTGGGTGCGGTGGCACAGCCCTAATCCAGCATTCAATTCCAGCATTCAGGAGACAAATTCAGGTGGCTCTCTGTGAAATTGAGGCCAGCCTGGACTGCATATCGAATTCCATGCCAGCTGGAGCTACAGGGAGTACAGGGAGACCTTGTCTCAAAAGCACAAACAAAAGACCAAAAACAAAAAACTTAAAAACTTCAATATCACTAAAAATATTGACAAACTATATACAGGACTCTTTTCAGTCTTGTTTCTGTTGCTTTTTATCTTTATAATATACTCTTTACTTTTGGCAAACCTGAATTCACTGGAATTATTTTTGTCTTTTTGAGACAGGGTCATCCTGTAGCCCCAGCTGTCCTGGAACTCACTGTGTAGACCAGGCTGGCCTTGAACTCAGAGATTCTCCTGCCTCTGCCTCCTGAGGGCTGGGATTAAAGGAGTGTGCCACCTTGCCCAGCCTTCACTGGAATTTTTAAGCAAAGCTTTCAGTGACTCATTTTTGATGTGTTTAAATGCCAGGGGTTCTGAACTTGCTACTGTCTCCATATTAACATTAAGACCTACTAGGCCTGTTTAAGTAGTCTAATTGACTCAAGAAGGGAAAAAAAGAACAGTTGTTTTTAATGTTCCTTATTATTCTTTACTACAATGTATTCTGAACATTATAAACTGAAATCTTAACATGGGAGATGCTAATAAAAACTTGGACTTTGCTGGGCGTGGTGGTGCACGCCTTTAATCCCAGCACTCGGGAGGCAGAGGCAGGCAGATCTCTGTGAGTTCAAGGCCAGCCTGGTCTACATAGTGAGTTCCAGGACAGCTGGAGCTACAGGGAGACCCTGTCTCAAAAACACCAAAAAAAAAAAAAACAACTTGGACTTTTTCAAAGTAGACTGCCCTTATCCACAAATTATAAGGCTTTTTGGTCAAAAAAAAAAAAAAAAACAAAAAACAAAAACCTAGTCAGGCCTTCACTGAACTTATTCAGCCTTGACATGTTGAGGTATTATGGTTCCATAAAAACAAATGAGAACTAAAGAGTAGACAGAGAAAAGCACTTAGAGCCCCAGAGACCAATCTTCTTGTCCATAAAAATGGGAAAATATCCACTTTGTCTACCTTAAAGGACTAGCACAAGAAACAAAGGCACTAATGTACACGGTGAGACTTTTGTGTTAAGAACATTCATAGGTCAAGTGATCTTTGTTAATTTAGCCCTTATGAGCTTCTGCTAAATGGGAAGTCCCCATCTTTTTCTTGATAGATGAGTTGTTGCTATGGAAAATCTCTCTCTCTCTTAAAAAAAATGTATTTACTTTCATGTGTTTTACCTGCATGTATGGAAGTGTACCCGTGTTATGCAAAACCTGTGGAGGTCAGAAGAGGGCCTCAGACCCCATGGAACTGGAGTTACAGATGATTATTAGCCACTATGTGGATGCTGGAAACCGAACCCGAGTCCTCTAGAAGAGCAGCCAGAGCTCTTAAATGCTGAGCCACCTCTCTAGTCCCTTTGTGTACCATTTTGAAAAGGATTTTCAGGTCTTTACCTAGGGAGAGGCCCCAAACCACTCCTTCTGGAACCACTGGAAGGTATTATTTTATCCATTGTTTCTTTTGAGAGTGAACAGCCCTTGGTTCATGTCTTCAAAGCCTCCACCCTTTCAGAGATGGGTCCCTTTCATTCCACAGGGGTCATAGGCTTGGCTGTGCCACTGTCCCACTGACGTGGCTGCAGAGCATTCACCTCCCCTTTGCCATGTCTGCATAATGTGTTCAATACCAGCAGAACACTGATACAGAGAATCTTATTTCAAACAAGCAGGCACTGATTCTCAGCCCAGGCTTTCGACCATCTGAGGACTATTTTTCTTGATGTATACCACAACCCACCTACCAACCAACCAAAACTCTGATAGAGCACCCCTTTATCCTTCTCCCCACACTGCTTTGAGATCTACTGACATATACTCTCCCAGAATTTGAGGTTGCTGCCTGGATTCATGTCCCAGACTAATGAGGGAGTACCCTCTTACCTACAACCCAAATTGCTTTATATTTCAGAAAAATCAGGTCAGAAATTAATTAATAATTAAATCTAGCAAAATAAATATGTCCTGAGCATGGTTCTAAGTAGCTTTTCTGTCTAAAATAGTCCAAAAAAAACTTAAAGGACATGTTTTACAATAGAAGGTCATGGTGATTAACATCAAGGATTAACATCAAGTTAATTAACATCAAAGATTAACATAAAGTTAAACAACAAGAATGCTTTTAGAAAATGAGTTTTATCTAGGGTTGGTGGCCCACACCTTTAATCCCAGCATTCAGGAGGGCTGCAGGAGACCCTGTCTCAGAAAGACAGAAAGAAGGAAGGAAGGGAGGGAGGGAAGGAAGGGAGTCTTGTTTGCTTGCTTACTTTTTTGAGACTCAGTTTCCCTGTAGCTCTAGGGGTCTGGAACTCAGAACTTGCTAGTAGACCAGGCTGGCCTCAAACCCTTACACATCCACCTGCCTCTGACTCCCGAGTGCTGGAATTAAAGGCAAACACCACCATATCTGACTCATTTCATCCTCTTGTCTTCAGATTTGCCCCAACCTATAACTGGCAGGGAAAAAGTCACTACAGAGGCACCCACCATACCTACCTTGACCTGTGTTTCTCATCTTGGCCTGGTTCTCTAGTGTGCTTCTCGACCTGGAGCACATGCTTTTTTAAAAAAATTATTCTTTTTTTTTTTTTTTTTTTGGTCTTTTTGAGACAGGGTCTCCCTGTAGCCCCTGCTGTCCTGCTGTCCTGGAACTCACTATGTAGACCAGGCTGGCCTTGAACTCACAGAGATCCGCCTGCCTCTGCCTCCCGAGTGCTGGGAAGCTCTTTGTTTCTTTATCCTTCCTAGGTCCTTGATAGGAGACTGAGGAGAGAAATTATTTTAACAAAGAGTTGGCTTTAGGTGCTGTGATATGGCTGGGATTTGAACCCAGGAAGCACCTGGTTCCAAAGCCCCTGTCTTTTTTTTTCCCAGTGTACTGTGTGCCTCTCTGCCTGTTCTGTATGCTAATCCCTTCCCTGTAGCTTCTCAAGATTTCAGTTAGTCCCCAAAGTTACATCATGCAGTCTTTTGTTCTGATAGATGATAAGGTCAAACTAAAATGAAACTGGACTACAAGCAGTCTTTTAAAAATCAAATTGAAGCACTCTCTTCTCACCACTTCAGGAGAAGAATTGGTATTTTCCAAAATTCAGAAGTACCAATAAGTTTGGAATTTTAGATAGTGTCCAGTTGATTGTTGTACACATCTAGGCCAGAGTTTCACTGTCGCATTCATTTTCCAGAAAAAGAGCACAGAATAAATTGCTACTAATAGTAGGTTTTGTTGAGATTTTTTGCATAATAAAAGTCGTAACTGAGCAACATTAACTACAGACACTCCTCCCAATAAATCCATGGAGACTGAGAAACACTTCAGAGGAATACAAACCCTAAGTAGTCTTTGGCAAGGGGTAATTTGCCATGATGATAGCTGAATAAGGAGAATACTGAGCGACTGACTACAAAGAGGCATCTGAAATGAAACTGGCTGTGGCTGAAATCTCTCAATGGAAAATATACATATAATTTCTCACATGTGGAGCCCAAATTGATCTCTAATTTTAACAATGCATACCAAGAAGGTCAGTCATACTTTTTGACCTAATAATCTCATTCCAGAAAATTTATCTCAAAGAAATAATTCATAATTGAAGACTATACATATTTTTACAATAGCATGATTTATAACTAGGAGGAAACTAATTTTCCAAAAAACAAAGGAAAAACAGTATATTTTGGTGCCTTAATTCTTTGAAGCTCTTTTATAGCTTTAAAAATAATATCACAGAGATAGGAGAGATGGCTCAGCACTTAAGAGCACTGGCTGCTCTGGCAGAGGACCCAGATTTGGTTCTCAGCACTCACTTGGGCACTAACAACCATCAGCAGCTCAGGTTCTAGGAGCTCCCACGGCCTCTTCTGGCCTCCACAGCATTGCATGCACATGGTGCACTTACATACATGCAGGCAAAACACTTCATACACATAAAGTAAAATTTAATTAACTAATTAAAACAAAAAAAATACTGTCACAGTTTATAAAAACATGTCAAGACACAGTGCGCACGTGTTGAAAAGTATGAGGGGAAATAAAGAAAATAGCTACCCAGAGACTGTGAGATTATAAATCAGAATTGTTTTCTTTTGCAATGACTATATTATTCTTAGAAGTTTTTTTTCTTTTTAATTAATCCTTTAAAATATTGTTTTATGCTGGGCGTGGTGGTGCACGTCTTTAATCCCAGCACTCAGGAGGCAGAGGCAGGCGGATCTCTGTGAGTTCAAGTCCAGCCTGGTCTACACAGTGAGTTTCAGGATAGCTGGGGCTACAGGGAGACCCTGTCTCAAAAAGGCAAAATATATATATATATATTGTTTTATTTATGTGCATATGTGTGTGTCTATGTGAGTGAATGGCACATGTGTAGGTACCTGTGGAAGCCAGAAGGGGGCATCAGAGCCCTTGAAGTTGGAGTCACATGAGGTTGTGCACCACCCAAGATGGGTTCTGGAACTGAATGTGCGTCCTCTGCAACAGCAGCAAGAGTTCTTAACCATTGAGCCATCTCTCCAATCCCCTTAATCATTTATTTAATAGAGGGTTTTTTTTCTTCTTGTTTTTCCAACTTCAACTTACACAGAATTGTATTTCATAATTATTTTGAAATTAGGAGATTATTCTACAAAAATATATGCCTGGGCCATCCTAACCAAATGTGAATTATAGATATGAAAATTACTAATTCACTAGATCAAAGTATAATGACACATATGCATGAAAATGTCATAATGAAACCCATTAGTTTTATGCTAACTTTAAAAATTCGTAAAAAGCACTCTAGAATTAAAAGAAAAGAACATTACTAATTCACAAATGCTAATCTTATTGTTCTAATTTGCAGTGAAGGGAATTTGGCTACAAAGCAGGTCGTGTTCCTTCAGAGGCCCGTCATGTGGCATCCAGCTGCTCAGACCCCAGAAGTGAGTAAAATTCACCAACTTTGACTCTATGAATAAAAGACCATTCTAAAGCACTTCATCCTTAGACTCTCTCTGTCATTCCAAATGCAAGCAAAGATGAGGAAATATGAACTCCACGTGGAAACTGTCTTCTAAAGCAGCATGTGAAAAAGAAACTGAGTTTGATCCCCAGAAACCACTGTGAGAGAGAACCAACTGCCAAAAGTTGT